GGGGGCCCAATGTTCAAAGGAATCCGCCTGGGGGGTCCTGGTGTACCCCCCCCCCCCCCCCCCCTCCCGCTACTGCACCAAGATCAGCGCCCCCAACTTTCCTTCACACCCGAATGCCTAGAGGGATACTATCGTCCGACTCCTGCCAGCCCCCTGTCGAAGACCCCTCGCCCGTTGTCTTTGTGTTTTTCATCCCACTACAAAACTTACGTCGTTTTATTGGTCAGCCGGTTAGCGCGGTCGATGCAAAGAACATACACACACATGCACACATACCTGTCCCTTGTCAGCCTCTGCTCGATTCTGGCTCTCGAACGCGCCCACAAAGTCCTCCGCTGGGCCGTAGTGGTCTGCAAGATCAAACGTCGTGTAGCCCTTGTTGACAAGCTTCGCCATCGCCTGGTTGGTCGGTTGGTTGTTAATTGTTTGAATGCATAAACGCCGGAGTGGTTTATTCGCGCGGCGGTTTGTTCGTCATCGAGAGACGGAGAGGGAGGGCGGGGGGGAAAGAGAGACAGAGAGACAGAGAGACAGAGAGACAGAGAGACAGAACGAGAAAGGCAGAGAGAGAGAGAGGCAGAGAGGCGGCGATAGATGTAGAGAGACAAGAGAAAGATGGGAGACAAAAGACAGACACTGACAGAGAGAGAGAGAGAGAGAGAGAGAGACACACACACACAGACAGACAAACAGACAGCGAAAGGAAAACACATGGTGCGCAGCACCGTTTCCCTTTGCTGCTGGTACATAGAAAGCAACTCCGCCAACAAGAAACACAAAAATCAAAAGGCGGCGTCGCAAAATCGGATCTCCTGCAATCCGCGCGCCTTTTTTTTCGGTCTACCCTCTTCTTGCTTGTCCACGCCGGTCAAAGGATCTCTCATTCAGTCGCTCAGATCGAGAGAAAAAGATATGGTATACTTTGGTTATAATAACTCGTCGTGTGGTCTTTCTTCCTCCTATGTGTCTCCTACAGTCACTCTGATCGACAACAAAAACGCAAAAACATGAATGGAACAAGCACTTGGTGATAAACGAACTTCTTCGTGTCGCCTTCCTCGCGCTGCTGTGTGTCCTCATATGGTGAGTCCAGAAACCGTACCGAAAGGGGTATATTCGTTTAGATGTCCAGAATGGAATAATTCGTGGAATGACCATGAGACAAAGCCGGTCACCTGAAGGGCGGGTTTCTGGTCGGGACGGAACCCGTGAGCGCCCGACAGCTGCCACATTCCGTTCAGGATGCGGCAGGTCTTCATGTCCCCCTGCCAGGAATACACGTGCAAGGAGCGATTGATTCGCGGGAGGGGATGATACCACAGCTGCACCAAGAAGCAGTACCAGCATCAGCATGAGCAAAAGAAAAAGTAGCAGAGCTGCAGAAACCGGACGATTAGCAGCACAGAGAAGGATTGACCAGGTGCAAAAGAGGCAAGGGAAGCCCATATACCTCAGAAAACACGGCAGAGAACAGCAACGCAAAAGAAAAAATGACGCAAAAAAATGTAACACAGTCTGTGCCGAAAACTGCGAACACAGGCACCCCCTTCCTCCCCGAACCGCCGATTTCCAAGCCGAAGAAACCTCGTGAGTTACGGCCCCACGGCGTCACAACCTGCCGCGGACGGAAGAAAGGCTCAAACGCTTCAAAATGAAGAATGAACAAACCTTCACCTTCGTTGACCGACGAAAGTCTCCCTCCCTCCCTATGACCCGCAGAAACCTACAATACAATGTATGAAAAAAAATAACCCTCTTTGCATTAATTCCGAAAACAGGAAGAGAATAACGCATCATTGTTTAGTCAATACCCCAAGGCCATTACCCCGATAGTCGTGTAGGCTTCCTCGGGGAGATCGCTCGAGGCAGCGAACGCGGCAGGCGTCCTCGGTACCTCCGAACCGCTCCCGCTTCGTGTCAAAACACAGCCTGCGAGTTAGCGTAGGATCAAGCATGCAAACAGTCGTCGTCATCGTCGTAGTTGTCGTTGTTGCTGTTACATTTGTGTTATGCTGTTCTAGTTGGTGCGGTAGTGCTGTCGCTGTTGTTTCTGACTTTCGATCGCCCTTGGTCCCGGTAGTGTGCTGTTCTAGATAAATAGTGCGGTATTGCTGTTGTTTCTGACTTTCGATTGCTCTTAGCCTCTGCTGTTCTAGATAGTGCGGTATTGCTGTTGTCGCTAATATCGACCGTTTTATTGTTGCTGCTGTTGTTCTTCTTGTTACCGTCTTGTTGTCGCACAAACACAATTATTCCCTCTATATAGTGCCCTCCGTTTCCGGTAAGCGTCGCGGGGTGAGAATACGGGGTTCCAAGAAAACAGCCCCAACAAAGTAGTGCAACCTGCGGCACGTGGACAAGTATCGTGACGTCGAGACACACAACATTAACCACGCGATAATCGATTCCCGCTAACAACAGAGGGGAAGCAGGACGAGGGCGGGGGGGCTAACACGCGGAGTTCTGTCGGAGTTTCATGAGGTCTCGATACCTTTCGTTCCGGCTAAAATAGGCAGCAGTATCATGTCCTGGAACCGCGAACTCGATTAGATTGCGCGGACCATAGCATCGATGACGCAACCACAAGCTTTACAGCACCAGTGTACGGTAGACTCGCATGGACGGGTACGTGGATAAGCGCCGCAAAACGTCGGTGGTACCAGCAACCACCGCCACCCAATTTATCAGAAGGATTCGGCCAACCGATGAGATAAGCGAACAACGCTGGTATGAACACACATCTTCGGTTACCGGCCGGTAATATAATTCTTCACACGCCAGCTGATCTCTCTATCCCTCCCTCCCTCCCTCCCTCCCTCTCTTTGTCTACCGGTCTGCCTGCCTGCCTCTGCCTCTCTGTCTGTCTGTCTGCCTGCCTGTGTGTCTCTCTCCCTCTCTCCCTCTCTCGCATTCTCCATTGATAAAACTTGCGTCGTTTTCCGACGAGCACGGGGTGTGACCCGGCGTGATGCTAAGGATGCTGCTCGCACGAAAAAATTACCCGCCGCGGGGAGGAGCAACCATCGTCTTCACCCGCCAGAATCGAGAGCATGTGGATACAAATCACTGCAGCAGTCCGTTGGTTTGAATCCTATACCTGACGAGCTGCTTCCTGTCTTTTGGGGGGTCGGGTGTCCATCTGCTTCCTGTCTTATTGGAGGTGTCGTTGGCATAGCGCGCGCCAGTCAGATTGTCGTCCGGTTCGAGGCTCCTTTTCATTTGTTTTAGACTTGATTCGCGTTTTGTTTGTTGGAAACTCATCATCTAGGGTGTGCATTTTCGTCCTATTTTGTTTGGCGACAGTCCCCCCATGATTCGTGGTGAGACGTGTACTGCACTCTTCAGTGTACGGCGAGTACTACACTTTTATTTTCAGTTATTTCTTCGTACAACAACAACCATGCAGGGTCACACAGGAGGGGGTAAACCAAGGAAACACCAGCGCTTTTTTTTGTTCTTGACATTTATTTTCGTGCACCTTCCTCCTAGGGTGCATCATCAGTGAAAGATCATCAACTTCCGAACACGAACGTCGGGAAAAGCACATCATCATCAAACCAAACATCACGTGACAAACTCATCTCTGGATCGGTTAACAACTGCGACATTCTTACAGTCGGTCAACATCGTTCAAAAAGCACATCAACCTGCGAACACGAGCGTCGGCAAAAACATGCACAAACATCATCTCCTCCATGCCCACACAGCAGTCAGTCGTGTCTTATGCACGAAAACAAAAACATTTATCTTGGAATCGCTTCTCTTGAGCGTGGCGGCGGAAGCCGCCGAAACCCTTGTATTAGTATTAATACATCACAGCTAGCTGTTCTGCTTGCTTGTAGTTTAAGATCACAGCTAGCTGTTCTGCTTGCTTGTAGTTTAGTATCATCGCCGTTCGTGACGACATCGTGCCAAAGACACGACAAGCGGCACTTGAAATTGAAACTTGAAACGAGGGTTTTGGAGTCTGCCTCGTGACGCCATCGTACCAATATGACACAAACGGCACTTACTTGAAGCAAGAACTCAATTGGGGAACCAGCCGTGGGCACACGGCAATGGCAATCTATAAAATACACACACAGAAAGACTACCCGTTCGAGATATACCCACATTCGAACGGGATGTGGTGGAGTCTTTTGACTCATGTTTCTCGTGCGGCGCATCATGTGTCGCGTGACCGAAAAAAAAACATAGAGAATGAACACGTACAATCAGCGCACCCTCCCCTACTGCACGCCTAGCCCACACGTAACGCAAAGCCACGTCATGGCCCTCTATCCTATGCTCACCGGCTCCCGCAGCAGTCACTGCGCCAAACTTGCGGACGTTCTTGATCATCTCGCCTCGAGTCAACCCTCCGCAGTCATCCGCATCAGAGAGAGACATTCTGAAGCCCATGCCATCACCGAAACCAGTCCTGGCCCCTGCTGGCAACACGAAACCGTTCGTGAGGTTCCAACATAGCAGGAACGTCGCTGCCACGGTAAAGGCAAGCATTTTCGGAGAATGTGTGCCGCCGCTTTGGCAGGCATAGGGCGAGGCCAGGGTCGACGCACACAATACTGTGTAGGTGGGGCGAAATATATATGCGGATACCACGGAACCCCTCTGGTCATCCTCGGGTCGTTTGGCATGCATTATCGTGGTCTGTGGTGTGCCATCTTCTTCGGCGTTGAGAATACCCTAGCCAGGTGAGGCGGAGTCCAGCGCGACGCCAACGTTAGCCATCGTAACTAGCGGGTGGTCGTGCCCACCGGGAGGATGATGCGATGCCTTTCCATACCCGTGTGATGTAGTCTTCTCCCAACATGAACACGCATACACATGCGCGGTTGTGAAGGTCGTTGGTTGCTGTTGAGCAGAGGATTGATTCAACACGCCTTGAGGGCTCGTTTCGAACTCAGAATCGGCAGGAGTCGGAGTCACAGGAATAGCGAGGCTTGCCGTCGGATCGGGTACCCCTCAGTCTTCGTTGCCTCGCGTGCATTCGTGAACTTTTGCTCGCGAGTCGAAATGAAAAATCGTGTGTTGAGGATGAGCCGCACAATTCGGATCGCATGAGCCTGCGGTAGGTACCGTGTCCCGCATGGATGATCCTTGATGTTGGTGCGTTCCCTGGCACAGTGGGTTAAGCCTTCGTCCGAAAGACCATCGACCGTTCATCCATCCCATCTCGCTGAAGCTGAGCAAACAGTCAGCAGATGGCCGCTTTGCGCACCCTCGCCGATGGGCATTGTCCCCATTTCACATGCTGCGGTAAAGCCGAATTTATTTGGGGGGGGGGGGGACGGATTGTGACCATCCCCTCCCCAACATTTGAAAATTAAATACAATGATCCTATGTCATACTTATGATGATATGCAAAATTTTAAAAACAAACTCGAGGTAGTGGCCGGGTTTCAATAGATTATGCTCTTTTTCGCTCGCCAATTTGCGAAAACGCACAGACCGGGGATGATGCCAAAATATCCCCGGTTTTGAAAAATCGTCAGATCGATCTGAAAAATTCATGGTTTGTCAATTTTGGGGCGGGGATCACGAATCCGTCGTTGGATTTGTTTTTCTCGCGTTCTGAACAAAGTTATGATGGGTGTTGTACGTTACACTTTTCTCGCCGCCGCCGATTGAAGCACAACAGAAAAACTGCAAGTTTACAAGTCGCAACACGCACAATCTCCACCAAACCACGCGCTTATCTCCACAAAATACAGCAAAAATGCAAACCAAGATTTGAACGCACCATCACCCAGCCCCTCAATAATGTCTACTTGCTGCTACCGCAGAATGAGACCCCAAACTGTGTACCGGTAACCCTGTCCATCTGGCAGGTGGTCGCCCCCTTCCGGAAAACAATTTTCTTCGCCTTCTTTTTGCTCCCGACCACAGGATCCACCCCAACCACAGGATCTACACCAGTGACCATGATGACTGTCTCCTCTACTACCTGCTCTTCGAGCTTCGTGCCGCAGGCCGGGTACTTGCTCCTGGTATAGCACCGCTCGTACTCATGCACGCGACAGGCAGAGCAAAAACAAGAGGCCGAACCGGTGTGCAGTTTGTGCCGGAGAACCACCTTCTCGACACAAACCGTCTCTTTCGCCAGAGTCGGACCTTCCTCCCCCCCCTCCTCCCCGCCCTCCTCTTCCTCCCCCTCCCCCTCCCCCTCCCCCTCGTCGTGCTCGTCGTCCTTGTCGTCCTCGTCGTCCTCCTCATTCTCGGAACTTTCTTCCTCTTCGGACTCCTCCGACGACTCTTCCTCGCTGCTCGCTCTAGCCCCCCCGCCCCCGCCCTTCAAGTTCCCGCCAAGGAGGGCGATATGCCTCACACTCACTGCGGTCGTCCTCTTGCTCCTCCTGATGCCGTCAGAACCGCCCCCCGCCTCTGCCGCCCGCCCCTCCTCTTCTTGCTCGCCACGGAGGGCGCCTTGCCTCCCTGAACGCTTCCTCTTACCCTTCCTGGTGCCGCCCGCCCCGCCCCCTGCACCCCCCGCCCCTCCCTCTTCGGGCACGCTGCCCTCTTCCTCCTCCCCAACCTTCCTCGCCGTGAGCACAACCATTTCCGTTCCCGCCACCTTCCCCGTCTCCGTTCCCCTCGCCAACTCCCAATCCTTCTTCATGACGTCTGGAATGCGTGAGTTTCCGCTGAGCCCGGTGGTAGTGGAAGCGTCTCTCGCCGTGTTCGCCCCGATGAAGACGTAAGTGTCCCGCGTACCTTTAATCCCCTTCAGGACCGGCTCCGGCCGATAGATCTCCGTTGGTCCGACGAGCTTCACATACACACGTCGAATGCGATACGGCGTCCACGAGGCGAAGAAGTCAGCTAGCGTCCTGTCTCCGATGCTCTTGAAGTACTCGGCCAAGAAGTTCACCACGCCGGCCGCGCCGGTGATGAGCTTACCCCCTGGCCTGAGCATCTCTCTCTTCATGGCACCCTTGGCTATGGCGCCGATGCCGTCGTGGCTGCCTTTGAAGTGAGACGTAACCGCGAAATGGTGCTCGACGATGTAGCCGAGCTGCCGCACGCGGTTTGACAGAAACCGAAAGTTCCGCTTGCCCTTGTATTGCTTGGCGCAGCCGTCCGTGAAAATGTGCATGCGGGGCGTCCGCTTCTCCTCTCGAGCGGCCGCAGTTGCTGCGCTTCCGTCTCCGTCAAGGTAGTGATCGGCGATTTGACGCATCCCATGGAGGTGGAAGTCGAAGTCGTGGCGAGGGTCTTCGGAAGCAAAGATCCATGTCTCGGTGAGGTGCACCCTGCCGCCGCCTTCCAACACTTGCGGGCTGAAGTGTACCACTGCGACCATGAGGGTGGTCGATTCGTGTCTCGCACACGTCAGAACGGATGGAGGGACATGTTCGAACTTCTCGATGAAGTCCACCTCAATAACCAGGTCGCCGTTTGGGAACGTGTACATGTCCTCCCTGTGGCAGTTCCTCCCCCACATGGCCTTCGTGTGGTGATCCATGTACACCTTGCTGTGCTGCTTGAAATCCCTCCAAAGATCGCAGAGCTTGCCCTCCTTGGTCACTAGTTGGTTCGGCAGCGGTTTCTTCCCCTCCCTGTCTAGATCTTCGTAGCGCGTCCACTCCACCAGCTGCTGAGACTCCTCCAGTGCCTTGCACGTGGGAATGCCCCCCTCCCGCCCGAACCCACAGACCTCACAGTCCGAAGAACCGCATTCCGGCTTCCGCCCCATGAACTCACCCGTGGCGTCGGGGTCCCCAGCTCGCAGGTCAACCTTTGGGCACGCGATGGCTTCCGAGAAAGACCCAAGGTTCGACCACATCTTCTTCCACTCGGAGCCTCCATTCTCCACGCTGCACCACCGACAGTTGCACGCGTCACGCCCCTGCACGTCAACCTCACGAAGCGCAGCCAGGTAATAAGTTTGCTGCGTGTGGATCTTGCACGCGCACTGGTCTGTCTTCGGGGAAGTCAAGCACCTGCACCGCGTCGAGAGGAACAGAGTGCGGCCGGGGTCCGCCAGGACCTCGCCGTTCTCCTCCTTCCAGACCCTCTTGAAGTTGATCCAACCTGGCCACACCAAGAACTTTTCGTAGACTGCCTCACCCTGTCCCTCCACGATGAGCTGCCGACGAGGGTGTCCTTTCGCACTGGGCGACTTGGATTCCCGCCAGATGTCCTTGGAGTTCCCCGATGCACGAGATACCTCGTCGGTGTGCCAGAATGTTCCCATGAGCTCCAGCATTTCTGGAGGGGTTGCGTCGCTCCTCTTGGTCCGGGAGTGGAAGTAGTACGCCTTCTCGTCGATTGCCTGAAGTGGAGGGAGCTCAGGCCTCAGCGCTGTCACCCGCCGTCGGGCGACGACGAGGTGCTCTGGGTGAACGCCAAAGATCTCGGACTTGCGCTTGGCTGTCACCTTCGAAGGCCCGTCTCCATCGTACGCAACAGCCGTGAGCAACGTCTGGAACGTTCTCCTTCCCTCTTTGGTTCGCCCTTGGATTGCGGCATCCTTTAAGGCTCTACGACATGCCGATTGGAGCTCCCTCGCTTCCTCCAGCTGCTCTCGAAGCTTGTCAGCGGCGGGCACCTTGAGCTCTGCCAGACACCGCAACAACTCTGTTGTGGTCATCGCTCTCATGGCCGCCACGAATGCTGGCGAGGTGTCACTCCACTCGAATTGCTCTGGTGGCTGGAAGGTTTGAGCGGCAGGGTGGGTCAAGTGCAACGTACAGCAGTGGGGGCATTTGGAAACGTCAGCGCTGGGGTAGCAGCAGAAGAAATCAAGAATGAAAGCCTGTGATTCAATTTTTACTTCGATGCGAATACCAAATGTACACTCGCCGTAGACAGCAATCGGAAGTTGCGCCAGTGGTGGCATACAACGCATCGAGCGAGAGCAATCCACAACTCTGGAGGTAGAGAAGAAGTCTCGCATCACAGCGAACACTCGTTGTTACCTTCAGCAGTCGGCAGGCATCTACGGTAAAGAGAGCAGACAGCAGTCTACAACCAAAGGTGGTACCAGTACATGCAGGCAACCTTTCAGTTTTGTTTTTCCCATACAGCAGTACCCTCAAGGTTGTTGTTTTTTCATCTAGTACAACAGAAGAGGAGAGGGGTTCAAGAGGGGATAGCGAGAGAAAGACAGCAGACAGACCCAGCAGCACCCAGCAGCAGCAGATTCTTACCTCTTCCTCAGGGGGGCGATCGGGAGCAGTCGGCCTTGTAACGCCAGCACGAGTCTTCCGCGGCAACGCCGCTCTCACTGGACAGCTCATCTCGCTGTCTGCCCTCCTGCCGGTGTTGCCGCATCTTCGCACGCCGCTGCTAGGCTGCAGTGTTTTTTCGTATCTGTCCCTTCTCGTCTTCAAGATTTCCTCGGCCTTTTCCCTAGCTTTCGAGCATAAGGCATCCTCGTCATCCTTGGGGTAGGCCACAAGCTGTACGACAACGCGGGTATCCTTCCGCTGGTCCATCAGCTTGGTGGTGAGCTTGAGGCCTAGGTCGTGTGGAACCCATTGGTGCGTTACTTTCCACTGCTTGTCTCCCAGCGGTACGATGCGGATGCAGTTGCCCGCTGGGATGCCAGCTCCAGCCCCAGCCCCACTCATATATGGCCCCCTCCCGCGGCCACTTTTGGTCAGACCAACTTTCTGAGTGGCTCTACCCCCCCTAAATCGGCCAAGCGGAGTCGATTGCCGAGGAGAAATGGAGGCGGCGAGATCGGGAATGCGCCGAAAAAAAAAGTTCGGCATGATCCGAACTGATTTTTTTTTATTTCTCTTTTTTCTATGCGCTGAAACGTCGTTTTAGACTTAGAACCAAAAGCGTTTTTTTTGAAAAAAGTTTTTTTCGCCGCGGGAGACCCAATTCGTCTTGACCGCGGAACCCGCCAGCAGTAGCCTCAGAGTTGCCGCGTGTACACCAAAATAGGTATACTGCTTGAACGGCAGAGCCTCCACGTGCAGTATTGCTGTATGTAACGGAAAGAGTGGGAGCACTGCTGCTGTGCTGCTGTGTGGCTGCTACCGGTCCTGACCCCCCCCAAAAAAAACTCTCGGCAAGCTGGTCCAACAAGATTCTTGTTGATAAGCATCTGGTTAGATAAGCATATGGTTTACAAGCAGTAGTCGCGTCGCTGCCTGTTGCACGCCCAAGTCAACCCCCAGTTCTACATTCACAGGGATGATAGCAACGAGTGGCGAAGGTTAGCATGGTGTCGTGCATACCAGTATGTGTACGACGGTGTCGTTTTCGTCCCATACTCTATGGGGGCTAGCCTACTGCACCCTTCGGTATACGTATGCTATGATGCACCGGCCAGTGTCATACCCTAGGTATTGTTTGTTGTTGTTTTCGTCCTATTATTGCGACAGTCCCCCGATTTTTCGTGATGATACACTCTCCACTGCTGTATGTAGAGTACTGCACGTTTCAGGTTATTTTTTGTACAACTGCAACCCATCCAGGGTCACACAGGGTAAAATTAGAAGAGCAAACGTTCCGAGTTTTTTTTTTCCAAGTTTCCCCCTTGGCTCGATTTTTTTATCGCGATGTACAAGAAAAAGGGTTCAGTTGCTACGCCCCTCTTCTTGTTTTTGCTCACACAACTGCGCGCCAGTCTACACCTCTAGAATTTTTGTTTCTGCTTCACTGTTATGCCTCTCAGAAGGGTAAGAACTGAACCCTGCTGAAGTACTTCCTCGTACAATACTCGGGGACTCATCGCCGTCTTCCGACCTACACATATGCTGCCTCGCAGCTCAACCAAGCGAATGGGCGGAGTCCCTGGGTACCTTCAATGCATGCATGGCCTGCTGCACTGCCGTTAACGCCATTCCCTCCCCCGTGTGCGTACGTTTCCGCCCCTCTTGTCTCTGCTGGTGATACTGCCACCACCACCACTCCCAAGAACAGAAGAAGTGTGTTCGTTCGTGTTGATTGATATCGCGAAGAGACACAACGAAAAAGATGAGGGCTTCGTGCGTGCTCGCCGCGGGACTGTGCGGGATGGCCGCTACGGAGGCATTCGTGTTTAACCCCGCTGGTGAGCACTTCCGGAAAAAGTCTGGGTTGATTTCTAAGTATTTTTTTTTTTTTCGTACGAGACGACGATGAATCCGTCTCTGTTATCCGCAACAGTTCAGGAATGCGCCGCCATTGATTTGTCAGTTTGTTTATTTGTCTTACACCAACACGACGAAGCCATTTCTTGTTATCCGTAACGGAGAGGTCAGGATTGTACCGTCGTTGCCCAGTGGCGCGCGGTCTGCTGCTGTAAGGTTGATGTATCAGAGCATGTTTTTTCTTACAACCCAGCGAGTTCGTGTCTGCTATCCGCAGACAAGAGTTGAGGATGCCGTTTTTGCGGAGAATCGCAGCGGTTGGTGTGAGGTCTGGGTTGATTTGTCAGGGCATTTTTCTTCCTGCAACACGACCAAACCATGCCTATTTTCGGCAGAGAAAGAGTCCAGGATACCGTTATTGCCCAGAATTGCGGCAGAGATCACGGTGCGTTTCACACACCAATCTTGGCCCGGATTGGGGAGGATGCCATTCTCCAGCTTGGTGTTTTTTGTGTTTTTGTGGTGGTGCGTTCGTTTTTGGCTTTGTCCACGCACCCCTCTTGATGCGGAGAGAGCCCTTTGCCGTGGCCCTGATTAGAGACACCACGCATATTGGAGCGCTTCGAAGGAAGGGGGGGGCGAACACCTGGACTGATTGAGAAGCTACATGATATCGTTTCTCGTGAGATGAGACTGCAAAGCGGCAAGCTGGCCCAATCAGATGGTCCGAGGCGGGTAGCCGCGCGAGTAACGGTGGCCGACGCGACTTTCGAGCACACGGTTGGAGGAGTTGCCCCATGCTTTCTCTCTTGCGACCGCCCCCTAGAGTAGTGAAGAATCAAATGGCAGGGAGCAGCGGCGGCGGGTAGGGGTTCTTCACGGCGTTGACATCCGTAACGTACCAGGCCTGAACTACATCTAAGCGATTCGGCGCGGTTAATTCTGGAGGGTGTGGGGGAAAGAAAGGAGGGCTGTGTTTCGAGTCTATCTGGTAGCTAGGGGTGCCAATGGAGGCCGCAGAGGCTATTGGTGGAGGAGGAGGGAAGAGAGAGAGAGAGAGAGAGAGAGAGAGAGAGAGAGAGAGGATATCGTGCGATATATGAAGCGAGGAAAAATATGAACAACAAGCAAACACCGCAAAACGATTTAAATCCCCCATCTTTTCGGCGCGGCATTTTTTGTGGCCACCAACGCGTGTCTTCCTCTTCACTTTTGCAGCTGCTTCGGTGGGTTGCCGGTCAACATCCCGAAGGCAGCAGACGCAGGAGGTTGCGGCGGCTGCCGATGTCGGGGGTGGTGAGGCGGACGGTAAAGAACGGACTTGGGACATGCACCGCTGGCCTGACAGGAGTAAGGTACGTTGTCCCGACTGATGTCGACACCGGTGCCTCCTACCCCCCCCCCCCCTCTCTTCGGCACGTTGTTTCGATCGATGTCGATACCGGTGCACCCGACCCTCCGCTTGCCTTTTCGGCCCTGGCGGAGGAGGGGGAAATCATCATGGTTTGAAGGGCTTGGGTGACGTTCGGAATTAGTGCTCCGTTGTGCATCATGGGCAAGAAATGGACGGAGCGTGGCGGTGTGGAAAGTGGCAGGAGCGAAAAACAGTTAACAGCAGCAGCGCTCCGTCTCGGAAGGGATGCGTTGTCGACGGAGAGAGTGGTACAGCTGGGCCATTGTAATGCTGAAATGTGCCCAACGTCACCTTCCGGTAGTGTTTGAGAGTATGAAAAGCTTGAAACTGATTTGTGCCCAACGTGACTATCCGGTAGTGTTACGAGTATGAAAAAGCTTGAAACTTCATCCGGGTGTCACGCGGTTTGACCGGCACTCTGCGTGCCTTTCAGTGAGACTTTTCAACCGCTCTATTGAAGGACCCCCACCAGCGTGAGAAAACAGAAAACCGCCTTGTTGTGGTGATTAAGCGTGAAAGAGGGCGGCCGAATCCGTCTTGGCGTTCAGAACCCAAGGCAGGCACCTCAGTTTTTCTGTGTAACCCCGGATCAAGTTGTTGAGTTGGAGAGGAAGTGTCTTTGGAAGAAGAGATGGGACAGGAAAAGAAGGACAGAGGTGGAAGGGGTCCTGTCGAAGACATGGAGGCAGGCGAGGGAGGCTGGCGGTTATGCACGGTAGGATGGAAGACGCTGAAGACGATGGGGTGGTTGTAGTTTAATGAGGAGATAATCTCTCGCATGTACATGTATGAGGAATCGCTGTCACAGTGGGGCATCGTGTCACGTCCATCACATGAAAGTTGCGTCTTGTGTTGCGAAGCCAGTCGTGGCAAAAAAAGGTCGAGTAATAAGATTGAAATTCGAGCATGATAGAACCCAGAGCAACAGCAGCGTGGGATTCATTCTGCCGATTCCGTTTCGATCTTTTTGCTTCTTCATGGTAGAACGGCTGGTATCTCTTTGCAGCAGAAAGCAGTATTGGCGCACTATAGTCGGGTCAATGCTCCGTCCAGTTCAAGACGCGTGGTTTATCATCTCCGTGACAGGCCAACTATCCCCCTTGCCGTCCGTCCCCCGCCCGAGGTTATCCTTCATTCGTCTAACTTCATGTCTAAATTTCGCCCTGGCGCTTGGCCCAACGCCTAGGGGCCGTGTGCAAATCGCAAATTAAAGAACAGTCGAACAGGAACGCCATGTGTGTGCCCCCATCCCCCCCCCCTACCGCGCTTTTAGGTCATACAATACGCGAATGTGTATTTGGCGAGTTACATTTTTATATCAAGGCAGATACTTGAGGTGTTTTTTTCGCGTCGTTCGGTTTAAATGGTTTTCTGTACACGATGCCACCGCTTTGGTGTCGTTTTGTATTTTTTTTTTGTGTAGCTGCTACTGCTGCTGCTGCCCTGTGTGAGGAGTATATCCAGTCGGATGAGACTTACCCTACAACTGGTATTTTCTTTTTTGACTTGCCCCAACCTCAGGAGTTCAAGGCCATGCCAAGCGACGCGCGCAACTGGGAGGTGGAGGGTGAACGCTTGCAGGTGAGCGGCTGTTGGTTTTCCAGGGGTGTGGGGGGGTGTACTCATAGTCGTGCATGCCGTAGTCGTTAGACCATTGACCTTGCATCCCTACAAAACCGGGACGGAGCACGCCGGGTTCTCACCGGACCAGGCTCTCGCATCACCGAGTTTTACCACGGGGTTGGAATGTTTGGTTGTGTGCCGGTTCTGTGGTGGTGCTAATCCTGCTGTCGTGGTATGTTTCAGCTTTGTAACGACGGTTAATTAGTGCCAACGACGGTTAGAAGTGCTTAGAGATCTTTGTGATGTTTGTTGAAGCGATGCCGGTGTTGCGGTTAAACATGGTGGCGTAGCGAGTTTATTTTCATGCTCACAAGGAACGTGCGAGAAGAGCTACAGTATTTTTCAAAGCAGGTTCAGTAACCGCGGCTATGAAATGGACTTACTATGGGGTGGGATGAGAAAGCCCTTACCCTTAAGGTTCAGCATCGCCGGAAGGAAAATACCTGTACCGAGTATTTGCTCCATGTACTGGTGCAGATGGCGCCCGCACTGACGAACCTCCAGTACAGTTTCGGCCGAGGCTGAGGTTCTTATTTCCTATCTAAGGTCATGCGACGAATGGCCGCTATATAGGTTTTGATGTAGGGGTTATTGACCGAGCTCACAAATGGTGCTCAAGTTCTTATATTTCAAGTTTTTTTTAGGCTCAATTTCTTAACTCTCCTGGGTTGTCAAATGTGGGCGCGTTCTGTATGGTTTCTGGTCTTGTTATCTGTGCAGGTTTGGGACGACGAACCCAACCCCGTGGAAGAGCTCACCGGAAATGAGTGGTACCACACCTTCGCCCCCAGCGATGTCGAGGTGGGCGCGATTTGATCTAGAGCCTTTGCCGGGTTTTTCGTATTAAGCAAACATATTGGATAAAACATACAATCGGGGAAGTTGGGTTAGGGTTGAGGAATAGGGTCTGCGTGCCCCCTCCCAACTCTATTTCCGTTGAGGAATATGGTCTGCGTGCCCCCTCCTAACTCTATTTCCGTTGAGGAACAGGGTCTGCGTGCCCCCTCCCAACTCTATTTCCTTATAACACTCAATTTGCCGCGAAGGCGGTCCCATTTGATTGGTGAATTATAAGGCGTTTGGCCCGGAGACTTGACCGGCACCATGCCGGGCACCGCCACTAGCGAGTCAACCGGCGCTAAACAGGGACCTCTAGCGATTTTGGCAACGCCATTACCTGTTGGTGGGCGTTGGCGGATCGGATCCTATCATTGGTGCTGGCTATTCATGATATATTGGTGTCGGCACAAGCGTCATGCGCGGAGTTTTTTGTTCGTGTACGCCCGCCCGCATTGGCCGAAAAAAATAGGCCCAACAATTTTTTCATTTGACAGATGTGCATACAGTCTATGAATATATGCATACTACCCGTTCGAGATAAATAACACCACGGCAGTCGAAGGGTCGTGTTGAAGCACGTACTGTATGTTTCAGTAGTGAGTGGGGAAGAAAAAGAAAGCCTTGTTTGTTTTATATTTCAGTTTCTACGAATCCCAACGAACGGCGTTTTGGTTCTTCCCCAGATCGAAGCCGCCGAGATGAGGTTTGACTGGACGGACGAAGTGGTGTAAAAGTTATTCCCGTTTCTTTTTATTCTGTTTTTCGCTGAAAAACGATAGCGATTTGTTGATCGCCCGGATCGAAAAGCATGTTTTGTGCGTTCTTTTTCTGGTTTTCCCTGGAAAAAAAGTTGGCGCTTTGGTTCTTGCCCAGGTCAAAGCGGCCGAGATGGGGTTCGACTGGACAGACGATGTGGTAATATTTTTCCCGTTTCATATTCTGACATCCCCAAAGTAACAATCCCAACGATGGCGTTTTGGTTCTCCCCCAGATCGAAGCCGCCGAGATGGGTTTCGACTGGACAGACGAGTGGTTCGAGGTGAACGAGATGGCGCGCAAGGACCTCATGACCCCGGAAGAGCTGCAAGAGTTCGAAGCTGCCGAGGCGAAGGAAGGCTAAGGGCTGGAAGCGGCGGCGAAAGCAGCGGCGGGATAAGAGAGAGAGAGAGAGAGAGACCAGGTGGTTGGGGCGAAACGAAGCGAGGGAAGGCTGAGAACTGGAGGCGGCGGTGGCGGCGAGAGAGTTATACCGTGTAGTTCGGGCGAAACGAACCCTGAAAGGGCCTGCCTCCTGCTCGAATGCCGCGATACCGCCTTCTTGGTCCAACAATCCCAGTGACACGTTGTTTTGGTCCCGGTTTTGTGCGGACGCCTGTGGAAAAGCTGCACGGGATCATAAAGGACAACCTGCCCTCCCCCCTCAAAAAATAATTTGGTCTGGAAAACCGGTTTCAGTTCAAGTTGCGCTTCCCCCCCTTTGTCTTCTTTTCTTGCCGCATGTTTACGGGCGAAGGGACTAGAAAGAAGGCCCTTACGGAAGGCCATCTACCCACGTAATTCTATCCGTTTTTTGTTCCACCTTGTGCCTATTTCGTAGTAGTCTTGGAACGAGGGCATGAGCACGGCGTTACCGTCCTCGTACCCAATATTATTGTTTGCGTATCGATCCTGGACAACCATATTTTGGGTAGGTGCTTTCGGTTGTTTCAGGTTTGTTTTATTTTCCTTCTAGACGTCGGCGGTGTCGAATTCATTCCGATACCGTATTCGCGGAGAATCAAGAGCAGTTTTGGACGTTGCCCTGCTCATGCAGGGCTGCCTCCAGTCCGACGTCCGCTTTCCTTTGAACGTGCGTGCGTGCGTGCGTGGTTGGTTACGACGCACTAGGCGTTCTCGAAATCAAATGGCACAAGACTTGTCTTGCGCGAACAGTTGGCGCGGCTTTTTAGCCGAGGCTTTTGCCGAAGTACCTACTTTTCCCGTAGGTTTCCGGAGAATCAAGAGCAGTTTTGGAAGAATATGGACATGGTCGAGGCATGTTCTTGTTCTTGATTAGGTATGTGTGTGCTGGCGCTCTTGTGCGGCAAAATATGTGCTGCGCTTTTTTTTTCGTGGAGACTTCGCTTGCTGATGTTGCGGCACGCCGAACGTTCATTTGTTACCCTTCATACCATGTCTCGGCGTGTTTTCGTCCCAATTGTTTCGTGAGGCAACGCCCTTCGTTCGAAAAGGTGGCGATGGCATGGAGTAAAGCATGGAAGGCTTTAGTTTGTGCCTCTGCTGTAGCGCTGTTGATGGTGCTACCGCTGCTGCTGATCGCGATTCATTTTACTGCGAGGCATTGCGCTTGACATTACAAATTTCTTTTTGTCTCTACTTTCCGTCCGCAGCGACGTGGACAACCGTAGGTCGCGTGAAAACACCACACACACTGTCTTGACCGATATTTTCAAAGCTCGTCTTCTCTTACGACGAAGAGGATCCCACAACACCCGATACGCTCTTCTCGCACCGCCGTTTTCGGCACAGCAGTCACTGCTGCTTTTGCTGCAGCTTTGAAAATCGGTCCACCGGGTGTGGTATCCATGTAACCTACGGTACTACCTGCGTTGGAACATTCCTGGATGCAAGTTTGTAAGGGGACCAGGTGCATGCTGCAATGCAACTCTTTTTAGCCTCCCCGTTCTCAAGGTGCAGTTTTCGAGACGATCCACAAGTGTTTTGCTCCAGTTTTGGGGCACAACAGACGGGATTCGAGCACTCCTGTGCAACCCACCATTTGCTGGATGTGCAGGGTTTGCATAGGCATGTGACAGCAACGTCGCTGAGCCTTCAGGGCTAGTTCCCTTCCAGCTGTACCACTAAATAGGTCCATGTGCGTTTGAGGTCCACTCCCTCCGATGTGTCGGGTCGGATCTTACCCTCACGGTTGTGCCTCTTGTGTTGCTTCTCTTTGTGGGGTCCGTAAAACCAAGCTGCGACTGCCCTCTTAAAAGCTTGCTGTCTCAAAACGCCTCGCGCTCTTGCGGAAAAGCCGCGTACCAACCGAGACTGGCGCGGGCTTGAAGGTGGTACACAGCAGCAGTGCGCCTTCTTCGTGTGTGCATATGTGATTTCGTCCCGTCGTAAAGGTCCTTTTCGGCAAGCACAACTAGCACAGAGGAATATGTGGTAAGTGTTTTCGGCTGTGATTTTTCAGCACCTCCTGTCTCTCCCAGCGGGTTTCCTGTCCGTAGCTCAAACGTCACTTCCGTACGCTCAGCGAGAACGCAAAGCCCGGGCATATATATATACCCACACGCCCCCTTCCGGCCCAAAACACGATGAGACTGGAGAAAGACGAAACAACTCGCAACGTCATTATCGGCCAACCGCCACATCAGGGCGAGGGATGAAAAAGACGAGGGGGGTGGTTACCCCCCCCAGGGGGGGGGGCTTCAAGCCCTACCCCTCCCCACAGCAAAAAAAAAACTCCCTCAAACCATCACTTCTCCTGGTTGGACAGGCAAAAGACTTGCGGCGGGAGCTAGCGAGATAGCTGTACACACGCCTCCCTCCTACGACGGCGTGTGGTCACAGAAATAGATTGAAAAAAAAACTGATCTACTCGTCGTCTTCCTCCTCTTCCTCGTCCTCGTCCTCCTCCTCTGCGAACTTGGACCAGTCGATGTCGTCGTATTGTTTCTGCACACGCGAAAAAAAAAAAAAAAAGCGTGGGGAACGGGGGAGAAAAAACAAGGTGAGCGGGGGCGTACTCAAGTTTAGCTGTTAAGACCATTGACCACGCGTCCTCGAGCATAGTTCCCGCAGGACCGATCAACGATGGCCAATTGATCGTGGGGGTGGGTGCGCGTGCTGGCGAGGGTTGGGAGCGGTCGGGGGGGGGGGGGGGGGG